TAAAAAAAAAAATGAAAAAAGAAAGAAAATTGAATCCTCGCGAACAAAGTGGTATACTAGATTCTTTGATTGTTGTTGCACTATTTAATTGCGGTTGCGTGTTTTAAGTTAAGAAGGAAAGGCGGCGCGACGGAACAATAGAGAGCGTGAAACACTATACAAAATAGCTGACCAGTTAATGTAAACTTCTCAGCGTACTTTTATTTAATTGACACGATCGGGATCTTCGGAGAGTTCACGTTTGCTGGTCGACACACGACGTAACTTAAGATTAACGAAACCTTCGGACCTCGTTCCATTGGAGATTGTTCGAGTTCTTCTCGAGCTCGAACAAGTGAATCCTGGGACGAGCCGGAATCAGTAGGTAAACATTGTCTAACGGAACTGTAAGTAGATGTAAATACATTTGATTCTCTTTTTGATGGTCGGTGAGAAACCAGCGACAGGATTGTATAAATAATTGTATCTTCGCTTCGCCCTGCGCGCCGAATCTTCGAGAGTCTTCGTATTTTGGTAAACGCCGGCGACGCCGAGGGGAATCGCGTCGGAAATCGGTTTCTCGAGGGTCAATGCGGTTTCGCGCGCTAGAGACAAAATGGAGGACCATCCCCGTCGTTCGTTGAAGTCTCCGCGAGGCGATCCGCGCACGTAATAGCACGAACAGGAAAGACGACGAAGAGAACAAAGAAAAAGAGAAAGAACGGGAGAAAAAAAATCGAGAGCACTCGTGCAAACAAATATTTTCGCTAAACGATGATAATCTAACGAAGAGTTTAAGTTTTTTGTACAGGTTGTCTCTAGAAATGGCCGTCTTTTGAAGTGAAAAAAAAGAAAAGCAATGATCGAACTACTGAATACGTCGGACGATGAAATAGCGAACATTCTTTCGAATTTTCTGTAGAATCTGATGAAGTACAAATGATGATGATGATCGATGATGTATTTTTCGAATACTCAGTGATATTGTACATTTAAATGTTTTCATTCATTCACGCGGTTCAAGAGGCGAACCGAGGGTACTACGACGATCAAATTCGCGCTCGGTTGAAACATTTGTATCATAAAAGCGTAATCGATTATTTTTATGGAGTGTTCTTAAGTCGCTGTGAAATTATTTTCAACGACATGTCCTTTAACTATTGTGTGCCTTTTCTTTTCTTATGTGTTAGAGTATTCTGATTGTTTATGAGAATCCGTGTTTTTACGAAGTAATTTACCGATGGAAATGAAATCATTTTATCGATGTACCAATACAATGTGAAACGATGAACGTTTTCGTTGATGCTTCATTTGACACGAGACCGAATATACAATAATAAAGATGCTTGATATGATTAAAATTAATTTACATATGAAAAAAAAGAACAGTGTAACAGTGTATTTAATCTTAGAAGTATTATTGGTAGAAAGTATTTACATTCTTTTGTTAATTCGTTTAAAGAAAATTTCCCTTATTTTTAGTTGATATCAGTATTCATATAAAGAAATGTTGCAATTCATTGATTTTCTAACATTTTCGAGAAACGTATTACACCATGTTGAATATAGTTTCAAGTGCTCTTTTCGAATTTCGTCGAGACAAGACGCTTTTCAATTAACAGTAATCAATTGTACGATCTCAATCACCATTAAATTCAATAATTAGTATTCAATTGAAATATTTTTATTATTACCGATGTGATGATTTTTTACTACTTTTTCAATGACTAGATGATTAGATCGTGCACGTGTATGCAAACTTACGTTCCGATCATTTCCCAAAAGTCCAACAAGGAACAAAAAATTGCAATAATCTTACCTATCTGGTGTTAGGTAATTTATTAGTGGTACAAATGCATCTTGATCCACACTTTACCCGACTATACAATTTTAAATGATAATTTGATAAAATTAGCTAAAGCAAAAACCAAAATTAGCTAAAAAAATTTGCATTAAATTATAATCGTTGACAACGACGAACTTAATATATTTCTTTGTGAAATTCAGCTTGAAATCATCACCGTGCATCTCACTCGATGTACCGTCTCCATTGAAAGATCATCGTTATCCAACCATTTGATGAAGAAAGCAGCAACGTCAGCCGAGAGAATTTTCGCGGGAGGACGTGGCTCGAACAGTTTCGTTCCTCGTTTACGTTCATTCAAATTCTACACGAAAAACCAAAAGAAGATCACTCTCTGTCCACTGTCGCGTTAGAACAGTAGTCCCAAACGCAAATGTTCAAGGACGTTCATTTCCGGGTGTTCCGTA